CACCCGCCTCGGCCTCCCAAAGTGCTGGGATTACAGGCGTGAGCCACTGCACCCGGCCGATACTTTCAATTAATGCAAAAAGGCTGCTCACTTTTAAAAGAATTGCCAAGGCCGGGCGCGGTGGCTCAAGCCTGTAATCCCAGCACTTTGGGAGGCAGAGGCGGGTGGATCACGAGGTCAAGAGATCGAGACCATCCTGGTCAACATGGTGAAACCCCGTCTCTACTAAAAATACAAAAAATTAGCTGGGCATGGTGGCGCGTGCCTGTAATCCCAGCTACTCAGGAGGCTGAGGCAGGAGAATTGCCTGAACCCAGGAGGCGGAGGTTGCGGTGAGCCGAGATCGCGCCATTGCACTCCAGCCTGGGTAACAAGAGCGAAACTCCGTCTCCAAAAAAAAAAAAAAAAAAAAAAAAAAGAATTGCCAAAACCTAAAAAGGAAAGAACAACAGGTGGAGGCAGAAAATAAAGAATGGGGGTGTGCCATGGAACTTAAAGGGGCCTTTCCTTTTCTCTTTACTAACACTGTGGGAGAAAAGACATTGTTTAAAACTTCCCTTACGGTTTTCATCCCTATTCTGTGGAAGCATTGCTAAACTCATACCACACTCAACATTATTCAATTTGTAGACTAGCTTCATTCAAAATTTCACTTCTTTCAGCTTCTCACATCACCTCTCTAGATGTAATAAGCTAAATATTGCAACTCTGTTTCCTTCACTTTCAGATGAAACAACACAACTGCATAACTCTAACTGCAAACTTTGTGTCTCCTAAGACTGATCTGCAAGAGACACTTCCTACTTAGGCTGATGTTGTTTGGTTTACAGACGGATGTTACATAATGGATGAATCTGGAACTTACTGTACAGGTTTATGTAATAGTGTTTTCAACCGAAGAAACAGAAAGTGCTTACCTTCCAGAAGCCACTTACATTAGCTTCTGTCTTTGTACCACAACTGGGTATTGAAGATGTCATTTGCCCTGTAGAGGCCCTAAACTACTACACACAAAAGGCCCTAAATGACAGCCACATGAATCTCTCATTATTAAATAATGAATTTACTCTCACAAGAAGACTGTATTACAAAACTATATGGTCTTAGACATACTCACTGCAGCCCAAGGAGGAACCTGTGCCATGACAGAAACTGAACGCTGTGTTTATATCTCAGATGAATCAAATAACATCACCAAATTAACGACTGATTTGAAAAACTCAAGTAATTAACCTTTTGGATCTAAGCTACCAGTTAAGTAGTTGATTTGGATCTTGGAGAACTTGGTGGCAAAAGCTGTTACGTATTTTAGGAATTATAATCATAGTTTGTGTTTTGTCTTGCCTTTGTCTGCAGAGCTGTTACGGTATTTATCTGCAATTGGGTCAACATACAGCTGAGAAAATTAGAACAATGACTACTCAGAGAATTGTTTGATTTAAGAGGCAGCTATATAGCCTGAATCAGGTTCCAGAACTACTTTCTCTTGTTGCTTTATAGGTCGGACTTGGTCCTTTCCAATTTCCCCTCCTCCCTGTGATGTGACTGCCGAGGAAGGAGCCTTCCTAATGACGTGAGGTTTGATCAAATACAGGACCTGAGAATATAATTCTTCTATAATGCTTTTTCTGAAAGCTTTTGAAGAAAAGGGGGAAATGTGAAAGAATATTTCAGCACCTTCCAAATATATTATGCAAAGGGAAAAAGTTAAGCCCCATAAACTAAATCACAGAACATGGCTGTTTTTCTTCTCTGGTGCATGACTGTTGCTTCCTGATCTTTGTGTTGTTACATATTAATCAGATTTTTTATTCTTTATTCAGACTAAGTGACGTTGGAGACAGAGACCCTTGTGATTGTTACATTTTTACAATGGAATGTTAACCCCCTTAAAGTGTAGTCAATAGTAGCGAATTAAATCTTCTGTGTACGTTAGCCTCATCTAGAAAATGCTGTAATTCTATACAGCTCTCTGTTTTTGGCAATACAAACGCTCCTCATCACTATTCTTTGCTGTCAGTGTTTGACAGGATAGCCACTCTTACACTTTGCACTTGAATAAACTATTTTAACTGGATCCCTGAGCCTTTTGGTTACTTTAGGCTGACATTAGTTAATTAACTAGTTAGTTCTGCAGTCTGTTAATTCTGAGGGGTTGACCAGAGGTCCTCTAAGGTCCCTTCCAACTCCTAACATTCCACGATTTCGTGAATTTAAAGACTATGGTTGCCCTGTATTAACTGGGTTCAGGACTAAGATAAATTAAGTCATCCAATCGACAAATATTTATTAGAGTTTACTATTGTGTGTAGGTGTATCTGTGGAAATAGGAAACCGTATTTTCGTGCACTGCTGCCTCCAAATCGCAGATCTACAACTTTTTCAGCAGAAATTTTCTAAGCTACCCGCATCAGCCAGAGACAGAGATTGCGCGTCGGACGCAGCCAAGGATTGCTAAGGAGTCCGACTTGGTCCAAAACGGAAGTGGTCCCTGAAAATTACTTTCCCAGGAAACTTACATTTGAAAAACTACGCTATTCCAATTCGCCTTTTCCTAAAGTAAACTCATAAATAGAGACATAAGCAAACTTTCGCTCTCGGCGCAGAGGAGAACGACGCTCTCCTCCCGAGAGGAACCTCTGATCTTCCGCGGCGGAAGCTGCATGGAACCAAGAAGCCGCGGGTGCTGGTTCTCCAACGAGCTTTTCTCCCGGCGGACCAGCCTCCCGGCGGGGTTGCCGTGGAAACCGAGCTGGCTGTGTGGATGCGGCGAAACGCTGTGGCGCGGCCTTTGCTGTCTGTCTGCGGAGGGAACTCACAACACCGACGTCAAGATGGTTAGTGTCTCTGAATAATGAGGGAATACTTTGAGTAGGTCCTGTTTCTGGCGATTAAAGGTTCCCAGCACACTTCTGTGTAAATCTCGGTGTGTCCGCAGAGGGTAATCCCCTGCTCTCCCTATGTTCCCACGGTGGACAGGGATGTAAATACCTCGATGCTTTCCTCCTTCCTGCTTCTCCATTTAACCACATCTAAACCAGACGTGGGATGGGAAGCAGAGGAAGGGGAAGCTGAGATGACAGAAGCTATGCGAAAGCATCTTTTGCCGCACTCGAACCAGAGAAGATAAAGTTGGGAGTAGCTGTTTGGTCCGTCCTAAGCATTGGGTGACGGCTCTTCTAGTAGAATACCTGTTACAAAACGAGTTTGAATAGGCTTCCCTGGGGTTCGTTGTTAAGGATTTGACTTATTAATTACAGAGCTGTCACTCAGTTTAAATCTGATTATTGGAATTGGACCGTACAGCTGTCATTGTTTCTTTCACAGATGCTTTCAAGGGCCAAACCTGCTGTAGGCGGGGACGTCCAGCACACTGACAAAAGAAAGAAGAAAGGTAGGAAGACTCCAAAACTAGAGGAGCTCCTTTCACAAAGAGATTTCACTGGAGCTATTACCCTGTTGGAGGTAATGTCCAAAAACGTTGCTTCTTAATGGGTGAATACCAGACTATAGATGAATGCTTGGGTGCATGCTGGTTGCTATGCTGTTGAAATAGATGGGTACATTCTGGGGCTTCCTATGCAAATCCCCTGTAAATCAGGCACAGATTCCAGATTCTAAGTTAACTATAAACCTGATAAAAGATGAACTAAAAATCTAATTTCTTGGCCGGGCGCGGTGGCTCACGCCTATAATCCCAGCACTTTGGGAGGCCGAGGCGGGTGGATCACGAGGTCAAGAGATCGAGACAATCCTGGTCAACAAGATGAAACCCCGTCTCTACTAAAAATACAAAAATTAGCTGGGCGTGGTGGTGCACGCCTGTAGTCCCAGCTACTCGGGGGGTTGAGGCAGGAGAATTGCCTGAACCCAGGAGGCGGAGGTTGCGGTGAGCCGAGATCGCGCCATTGCACTCCAGCCTGGGTAACAAGAGCGAAACTCCGTCTCAAAAAAAAAAAAAAAAAAATCTAATTTCTTGAGGGCCACTTTTGATTATGTCTAGGTCACTGATGGTGATTATAATCTAAAAATATGGAGGGACATTTAATACAATGTCAGTTAACACATTGCTTATCCCAACCCTTGACCAATGTATGATTTTTTCCTATTAAGTGTTCTAAAATTTTGCCCAAATTTAAGTAATTCTAACATGCTTATGGTTGAAAATATTATAGCCCCAGAAAATATTTCAAATCTCCATGGCAGTAGTTCTCAGAACCTTTTAATATACGTCAGAACTACCTAGGGTACTTAATAGGATATCAATTCCTGGGCTCCTGCTCTAGGCCTGCAGTGGTGCTCAGGAATCTTCATTTTAAGGTGCGCAGTCTAAGTGCTTCTGATGGAGATGGTCCCAGGGACTGAGCTTTGAAAAACTGCTTTGTGGGAAACACATGTTATAGGAGAGTGAAGTTTGCACCAAACAATGAAGAATTCTGACAGCATGTTCTAATTGTGTTGTGCCACAGTTATTTCTCTTAAAATGCTGCTCCATCCATGTTACTCTGAATCTACCATTAATAATTGTTATAATTCGGTTTACATATATTTCCTCATCTTCCATGTAAAGTTTGCTGCTTTATTATTTATTTATTTTTTTTTTTGAGATGGAGTTTTACTCTTGTCGCCCAGGCTGGAGTGCAATGGCACAATCTTGGCTCACTGCAACCTCCACCTCCTGGGTTCAAGCGATTCTCCTGCCTCAGCCTCCCAAGTAGCTGGGATTACAGACCCCCGCCACCACGCCTGGCTAATCTTTTGTATTTTTAGTAGAGATGGGGTTTCACCATGTTGGCTAGGCTGGTCTCCAACTCCTGACCTCAGGTGATCCACCCGCCTCAGTCTCCCAAAGTACTGAGATTACTGGTGTGAGCCACCGCACCCGGCCTAGTTCTCTTTCTTACTAGTGTTCTGGTACTGAGCATATTGTTTAGCTTTTTGGGTATCAGCTTTCTCATCTTTACAGTGGGGGAGTTGGCATGGAAGCACCTTCTAGTTCTGTGAATCAGTGGAGTGAGTGCTGTGTATATGTCTATCTTCATCAGTCTGTTTTCCTCTTTTTTCTTTAAGACAATGACCCCTTTTTTTCTTATTGTATAACAACAGGTTGCCTTTATTTTATTTTATTTTATTTTTGAGACAGGGTCTCACTCTGTCATCCAGGCTGGAGTGCAGTGATGTGATCATGTCTCCCTGCAGCCTCAACCTCCCAGGGCTCACATGATCCTCCCACCTCAGCTTCCCAAGTAGCTGAGACTACAGGCATGTGCCACTATGCCTGGCTAATTTCCATCTGGCTGGTTGGTTGTGTGTGTGTGTTGAGACACGGGTCTCACCATGTTGCCCAGGCTGGTCTTAAAGTCCTGGGCTCAAGGGATCCGCCTGCTTCTGGCCTCCCAAAATGATGGGAGTTACAGGGCCAGACTGCCTTTAAGTTCGCAGGGAGGCTCTGCTCTATGCTTACATTCTTAGGTAGTTGGTTGGAGTACCATGCTGCATGGGGATGGAAACTGCTATGGTTTCTGGTGAGGAAGTCTCATGCACTTTCCTGTAGCTCCAGGGAATTCAGGGAAACCTCAGGTGAGAGTTTCTCCAGAAATAAGGCACTATTTTCAAATTCACAGCATTTGGTATGAGGAGGATTTCTAATGTTGTAGAGTTAGCTACGGGAGTAAATTCTTATCCCAGATAAGAAAATATCAAAGAGATGTCTTCTTCTTATAATGACTGAGGCATCTGAAGTTCTGTAGTGATGCTCCGTAAATATGTGTTGGCTCACTATTTGATTTATCACCCTGTAGAGTGAAAAAAAAATCTTACCTTGGGCCGGGCGCGGTGGCTCACACCTGTAATCCCAGCACTTTGGGAGGCCGAGGCAAGCGGATCACAAGGTCAAGAGATCGAGACCATCCTGGTCAACATGGTGAAACCCCTTCTCTACTAAAAATACAAAAAATCATCTGGGCATGGTGGCGCGTTCCTGTAATCCCAGCTACTCAGGAGGCTGAGGCAGGAGAATTGCCTGAGCCCAGGAGGCGGAGGCTGTGGTGAGCCGAGATTGTGCCATTGTACTCCAACCTGGGTAACAAAAACGAAACCACAACATCATAAAAAAAAAAGAAAAAACTCTTACCTTACCACAAAAATTCAGAATTCTGTGTCAAGGTCTTAGTTCTTTCCTCCAAAATAAGGCTTTTCTTTTTCTGGCAGAGGAATTCATAAAATATTTGTTTATAGTGGACATAAGTGAGGCCAAGTCTTCTGAACATCCTTAACTTTTGTAGGCCTGGTAAGCTAGCCTGCTGAAGAGTAATAGAAAGATGTAATGGCTTGTCCTCAGTGAAAGGTTATAACCTATTAGTAAATATATGTGTGTGCTAATGCAACAGGACTGAAGTGGGAGGTTAAATCCAGTAGAGCACAGGGGGTGACAGCATGGGCTTTGGAGTCAGACGTTTCTTTAAGTCCCTGCCAGCACACGTACTGGCTGTGGGGCCTTGAGTTCATGGTTCAGCCTCTCTAACCTCCAGTTATTTGGCTTTAAATATTTTACACAGTCCTGTTCCTTATGTATCACCCAGAATTGTTAGGCAACTCAAATGCTTTTTGGAGTACAATATCAGGAGATACAGAATGCCAAATGGGAAATATTTGAAAATATAAATTTCTGTGACAATCAGAAGGTAATTGTCCTGTTTAATTAAACATCATATTGTCATGCTTCTAATATTTAGATTTCCTGTTGTTCATTAGTAACTCAACATAGCATTTTTTTAAAACAGAGAGTTTACTATTCAAAGTTTTTCATGATTTTTTAAAATACATTTTTAACCTGAAGTTCAAACGTCATGTTGGGGAACAAGAAGAGGATACTAATTTGTGGATTGGATATTGTGCCTTTCACCTTGGTGACTACAAGAGAGCTCTGGAGGTTAGTGTAAAAAAAACCCATTTTTTCCTGTCAGAAGTGTGTTTAAAATGTTATTAAACTTTATATTATAATAATACATGTCCATGGTAAAATTCAAACAATCCAGATGGAAACAAAAAGAAGTTACCTATTTGTGTTCCTCAATTATACTTGTTAATGAAAGCAACTACTGACTTTTTAAAAATGTATCATTTCAGTAGTTGTCTATATTGTAATATGCTCCATTACAGTAGTTCCCTCTTGTCCATGGTTTTGCTTCCCGGGGTCAAGCTCAGTTACCCAAGGTCAATCTCAGTCCAAAAATAGGTGAGTACAGTATAATAAGATATTTTCAGAGAGAGAGAGAGAGAGCAAAAAGAGACCACATCCTCATAACTTTTATTACCATATATTGTTATAGTTCTATTTTATTATCAGTTATTGGTGTTAATCTCTTATTGTGCCTAACTTATAAATTAAACTTTATCATAGGCATGTATGTATAGGAAAAAACATAGTATATATAGGATTCAATACTATCCAAGGTTTCAGACATCTACTAGGGATCTATCCCCCATGGATAAAGAAGGATGACTGTATACGTACCTGTATCTTGTATACGTTTTACTTTACATGCATACTAATGAGATTGTACAACATATTGGTATTAGGATTTAGTAAGTAAATCTTCAGAACAGGAAAATTAAGCCATTTTGATAAAAACTTGCATGAGTCTTCGCTCAAGAGAATTTCACTTTTCTTTTGCTTGGTTATTTTTAGACATAGGAACGATTATATTATCTTTATAGTTTTGCAAGTAGAATTGTTTTGGAAATTGTTTTTCTTGGTCATTGTAAACCCTACCCATCTACAATAATTAATCAATAGGATTATGGATTCAAATAAAATTATAGAGGGCTTACATCAAGTCATTTTTAATTCACAAATGAAATTGCTTAAGCATTTCCTACATATTCTTATTCCCAAGATGTAATCTAAGCAAATTTGAAGAACCTGCATGACTAAAATGAAAATATTCAAGGACAGGTAATAAGGAGGTGAGCTGTAGAACAAAGGAACAGAGCTGGTGAAGGAAAAGGGAAGATGTGCAAGGGACAGAATAGAGGCTGGTAGTATTTGTAAAAGGTATAGGAGGAAAGGAAGAACAACCCACGTGTAGTAAGAAACAACACCTGGGAAAGACTGATCAAAAGTGAGAGTATAGGGAAAATGTCATTGATAAAGTGAATCTCAGAAAGTGTCCTTGGCAGGAAAAACAAAAAATTTAAAAAATATGAACCCCCCTACACACATATAAACAAAGCCAGAAAACAATTAGAATGAAATGGAATTTGTAGTGTATTAAATAAGCCATCAGATTTTAAGTTAACTGAACATAGGACTTTCTTAAGGGGATCTTGTATGTCTTTTTAAGTCAGCAGAAATGAAGTAGTTCAGTTACTCTTTGTTCCTGTTGTTTGTTAGTCCCTGTCAGTATTAATTGAGGGACAAAAACCACAAGTATAAGATCATACAGACAGTAGCGCTGCAGATGTGGGATTGAACTTTAGCTTCAGTATTTAACGTTTTCAGATATAGAATAATTGCAAAGCATGTAGGATTCCCTAAATGGTAAGTTGCTTCATCTCAGTATGAAATCCTATTCCATTATGGAAGAATGGCCCATCAATTGCTTTGCTGACAAAACAAGATCACTGCTTACTGTATGTTTCAGGAATACGAAAATGCTACAAAAGAGGAAAATTGTAATTCTGAAGTCTGGGTGAACCTAGCTTGCACCTACTTCTTTCTTGGGATGTATAAACAAGCCGAAGCTGCTGGATTTAAAGGTAAAAGGGCTCTTTTTATCTGATATTCTTCACTCATAGTAAGAGTCATTTTGAAGATTTTAAAACTTAGTGTATTCCTTTTTCTATTGAGGAAAAAAAAAGATTGACATTGGAAAGCTAAAAAAAAATAGCTTTAACCCTCAAAGAATATTGGATTTGAGTAACTTTATGTTTAAAGAGAGAGTTAGCCAGGCATGGTGGCTCATGCCTGTAATCCCAGCACTTTGGTAGGCCTAGGCAGGTGGATTGCCTGAGCTCAGGAGTTCGAAACCAGCCTGAGCAACATGGTGAAACCCTGTTTCTACTAAAAATACAAAAATTAGCCAGGTGTGGTGGCAGGTGCCTGTAATCCCAGCTACTCGGGAGGCTGAGGCAGGAGAATTGCTTGAATCCAGGAGGCGGAGGTTGTGGTGAGCTGAGATCGTGCCGCTGCACTCCAGCCTGGACAACAGAGTGAAACTCTGTCTCAAAAAATGAAAAATAAAAAAAATAGAATTAATGCTACACCCCACCAGGCTACAGCCAAAAATCAGGATGAAGGAAGAGAAAAGGCAGGGTGTCTTTCTTAGGCCCCGTCATGGGAGAATAGGCATGCTGTTGGTGGTAGTTAGGTAGAGTTTTATTCAGGCTTTTATGGCTGTGGACTTTGTGGCTGCTTTTCCTGTTTCTGGGTGAGAAGCCCAGCAATTTCAGCTTGAAGAATCCAGAAATCATCCCTTCTGCTTTCTTACATATGGATATTCATCTTGGGGCAATTGTACTCAAATTTGAAAATGAGAATAAAAGGGAAACATGAGGCCGGGCGCGGTGGCTCAAGCCTGTAATCCCAGCACTTTGGGAGGCCGAGGCGGGTGGATCATGAGGTCAAGAGATCGAGACCATCCTGGTCAACATGGTGAAACCCCGTCTCTACTAAAAATACAAAAAATTAGCTGGGCATGGTGGTACAGTGCCTGTAATCCCAGCTACTCAGGAGGCTGAGGCAGGAGAATTGCCTGAACCCAGGAGGCGGAGGTTGCGGTGAGCCGAGATCGCGCCATTGCACTCCATCCTGGGTAACATGAGTGAAACTCCGTCTCAAAAAAAAAAAAAAGGGAAACATGGTAGAAAAAGTTAATTAGAGTATGAACCAACTTAAGTTCAAGAAAATGCAGAGAAAAGTGGGCACTGTAATATTTGATAGGGAAGAATGTATTCAAGGTAGAATTAATTTATACATATAAAGAATTTCAGCTTGACCGGGTGCTGTGGCTCACGCCTCTAATCCTAGCACTTTGGGAGGCTGAGGTGGGTGGATCACCTGAGGTCAGGAGTTCAAGACCAGCCTGGCCATCATGCTGAAACCCCATCTTCATTAAAAAAAAAAAAAAAAAAAAAAAAAAATTTAACTCAAAATTATGGCAAAAGTGGAACTTGAAGACTTTTTTTTTTTTTAAAGACAGGATCTCACTATGTTGTCCAAGCTGGAATACAGTGGCTATTCATAGGTATGAGCATAGCATCCTATAGCCTCAAACTCCTGGCTTCAAGCCAGCCTCCAGCCTCTGCCTTCTAAGTAGCTGAGACTACAGACACACCCGCCACCATACGCAGCAAAGCCTTTCTTTATTTGTACCCAAAATGTTTCATATGTGCTTATGTAGTTTTTCTCAATTTCATTATAAGGTCCTTTATGTTACTTAATCTCATATTTCTAGGCTTTATCTGTGCTAAGAACAGTGTTAGACACATAAAAACTGATCATGGCAGCTATCTCTATTTCTATATATATTTTTTCTTTCTTATAGATTGAAGTATGACTTTTTCTGTAAAAGAGGTAGAATTGGGTATCCAGAATCAGGAAGTTTTCCAAGAATGCAAAGGATATTTGGAACTTAAAAGCTGTTAATATTTTTGCTTGACTGCCTGCTTCAATGTGGCACATAATTGTGCTAGAAAATCTGTGGAATAGAGACTGGGCTAGTATTTAGGAAAATATGGCAGTATAATTGTGGAAAAGGAAATAGCAGAAGGAATTAACAAAGAATACTGGGACTAGGAGCTGAGTGAGTGCATTCATACACACATCGAGATGACCATGGTGTCTATTACCAGTGTTTGGTTTGGTATATGAACAACACAGAGGCCAGCTGCTACTCTAATCATGTGTGTGGAGCGTTGTGTTGTGGATCACCGTAATAGGATCAGGTAGAATAAGCAGTAGAGAAGAGCGAAATCTTAGCACATTTCTCTTCTGGTTCTTGATGCTGTTTCTGCTACTGCAGGTGGAGACCAGACTCAAACAATATATATTCTAGCAGAGACATACCTAGGAACAGATAAGTAAAGATTTGAGAAGATCATCCGAGTTTCATTTCATTCCTGCAAGGGACGGCTAGACCTAGACTGTTGAGTTCTTTAATAAGCAGCTTGGATTTTTTTTTTTTTCAGCTTCGAAAAGCCGACTCCAAAACCGCCTCCTCTTCCACTTGGCTCACAAGGTATTTATGTTCTCATTTCACATTGTTTTGTTTTAAAAATATTTTTCTTTTTCTTCCTTCTTGTTACTACAACTAGTGAGAGATAATTAGAAATTATTGTTAATAATTTTCTAGAACAAGTGGAATATAACTGTTAATTATATAGGATTTTCTCCTCTATCAGTGTTCTTTTTTTTTTCTTTTTTTTTTTTTGAGTCTTGCCCTGTCGCCTGGCTGGAGTGCAGTGGCACCATCTTGGCTAACTGCAATCTCCGCCTCTTGGGTTCAAGAGATTCCCCTGCCTCAGCCTCCGGAGTAACTGGGATTGCAGGCGTGCACCACCACGCCCAGCTAATTTTTTGTATTTTAGTAGAGACGGGGTTTCACCATGTTGGCCAGGATGGTCTCAATCTCCTGATCTCATGTTCTGCCCACCTGGGCCTCCCAAAATGCTGGGATTACAGGTGTGAGCCACTGTGCCTGGCCCAGTGTTCTTTACCCTCTTAATTTATTCAGAGATGTTAGGTTTTATTTCTCCTTAAGCCACAGACATAAGAAGTTTAGACCAGGCGTATTGGATCACACCTGTAATCTCAGCACTTTGGGAGGCCGAAGCTGTTTGATCACCTGAGATCAGGAGTTCGAGACCAGCCTGGCCAACATGGTGAAACCCTGTGTCTACTAAAAATACAAAAAAAAATAACTAGGCGTGTTGGCACACACCTTTAATCCCAGCTACTGGGGAAGCTGAGGCAGGAGAATCACTTGAACCCAGGAGGCAGGAGTTGCAGTGAGCTGAGATTGCACTACTATACTCCAGCCTGGAGCAAGACAGAGCAAGACTCTGTCTCAAAGAAAAAAGTTTAGTTTGTGTCAACTATCCTATTATTTCTTAGGAAATAGACTCAGAGACACCTTGTCCTGATTCCTAGAAATAAATATACACTTTTCAGAATTGTTATATGGTAATAATTTTGATAATGATAAAATTATTTTTTAAATAATAGTTTTTCAAATTTAAATTTTTAAATAATTGCTTAATATATTAAAAAAAAATTTTTTTTTTGAGACGGAGTTTCACTCTTGTTACCCAGGCTGGAGTGTAATGGCACAATCTCGGCTCACCGCAACCTCCGCCTCCTGGGTTCAGGCAATTCTCCTGCCTCAGCCTCTTGAGTAGCTGGGACTACAGGCACGCGCCACCACGCCCAGCTAATTTTTTGTATTTTTAGTAGAGACGGGGTTTCACCATG